CCAAAGCACTTTTATAAATTATATTATTATGTTAACAAACAACAGTATGTACAATTAACATGTGCTCACCATTGACAGTGAATTCCATCTGGATCATACCCAGCTACTCTCTGCAAAGGGGGCGGGAGGGAAGCAAAGCCGTCTCAAAAAGAAAACATCTACAATTGTCTTTTGATACGTAAGTCCTTGCAAATGTCCTACATTTCTCTTTACCTCTTTGATCAGCATGTCAGGGTTGTTTTGCTATTCTCATGAGTCAGCTGCCCAGACCCATAGGCTCATAAACAGCTTGGCAAGGAAAGCCTAATCCACATGAGCCCATGATGTTACAGCCAATTTGCCCACCACTGGCTCTATGTTGCAATGTTAGAGAAGCTTGATGTAAGCTTAGCTGATTGCTTATGGTAGGTGTGGGGAACTGGTGGTTCTCCTCAGGTTACTGGATTCTACTGGGAGAATACCATCTGAAAGGGAGAACTTCAAGGCCCATTAAATGTTTCAAATATTTATTTATTTACAGGTATTTATTTATTTATTTATTTACAATATTTTTAGCCGCACCATTTACTTACTTATTTGACTAAATTGAACAATAAAAATATTATGCATACAACACAATCAATTATAGATTAGTTGAATCATCTGGAAACAACACCAGTTCTTCTGCTATATTTGAATAATTCACATTTTGAAATTGTATACAATAACACAAGAGTTTTAAAGAGTCTCATGAGAATTTGATCTTAAAAACCCAATACAGCTTTCAGGAAAACTGCTGAATCTCATCATAACAAGCCAAAACTAAATTAGTATCTACCAAATTATTCAAAAGCAATGCATTGTTTTCCCTCACTTTTCCTAAATTCTATGACATGTTGCGTTTCTTCAGTGGATCTACAGCTTTTTGGAGAGCACCACAAATGAGAGAGAATTACATCTGACAACTTGAAATAAAAATGAAGCAACAACAGAGTACTTTCCTGTTCCTTAGCATCAACTATTCCGATAGGGAAAACTGCAAGATAATAATATGACTAGTCTATAAACAAAAGGATAAATAAAGTGGATAAAGCTAATAGTTTTGTTCTGATTTTTTTAGCACCTCATTGTTGTCTGTTTCTAGTCCTGTCATTTCAAATACATGGTAGGTCCACACTCATGACTAACTTTCAGCATCCTTTTAAAAAGTTTTATTAGGCTTGGAAATACTGTTATCATTTTGAAACCATGTACTTTTTTCTTGTAAACATATAAAAATTTTTGGGCAGAAAGCCAAAGGAAGTTTAGATTGTTTTATAAATGATAGATTTTTTTTAAAAAAGATGTGCATACATGAAGGTAATTACAGAGATGCTATGTTAGGCTAGTTCATATGCAAATAACAAATAAGCAAGATCCAGAAATTATTGCTTAATTTAACATAATTTGAATTAACTATACGCTCAACTTGCAGCCTATTTCCTGTCACTTTACCCTTTATTTCAACCAAGCAGGGAAATAAACCAGTTGTGTGCAACACTCAAGTCCAGGATTATGGTTCATTATGGCCAAGTAAGATAGGATCACAAGCCAACTTTAAACTAGGTTTTGTTGTTGGCTTTCAAATCCTGGCTTGTTACTGCCATAATGTTTTGAACATTACCACAGAACTCTCCATTTCTTGGTTTGCTTACCCTTTCATGTGACAGAAAGAACAAAGAAAAAATAAGCAGGTTGCAAGCACTAGCACCAATAAATAGCCATGGTTTATTGACATATAATTCACATTTTGAAATGATGTGTAAATGGAACCACTGCTGTAGTACATTAATTTCGAAAACTTTAAGAGTCACAAAACAGAGTTAATGCACAATATTTTATCTTTAATTCACTGAGATCTCACAAAGATTAAGTGAAAGCAAGTTGCCAACATCTACCAAGACTAAGACCACCTGAGAATAATTTCACGATGGTTAGTATGAGACACACGTCTCCCATAAAAATGCTACATTGCAGTTCTGTACATCACACTTTATACAGAGGAATTATTGCTCCCATTCCTTCAATATATTGTGGGAAACAACTCTGATGAATACAAAGACGTTTATCAAACACGGATCACACACACGAGGCTCAAGTGAAGTCACAGGTTTAATTCAAAATGATAAAACTAGTATTGTTATCATTGTCAGCATTACACAGAAGTGACATATAAGGGAAATCCAGTCCAGAATATTGGTTTCAGAATGCCAACAGCTTTATTAAAATATGTCTGTCCTTCACTGAACCCTCTGCAGAACATTAAAGAAATATAAATGACTTCATACTTTTAAGCCCTAATTACAAACATTAAAATACCTGTAACTTGCGAAAAAGAAATCAGTCCAACAAATGTCAAGGTGTGCAACTCCCTACAAAAGAACCACACGTGTCCATGAACCTTAATTCCACATAAAATCCTCTCCCTGGTTACAGAACAAAGCAGTGCTAATTGAGAACCATTTTGTTCTTTCCAAAAGGTGAAGTGAGAAAAATCACACACCACATTCAAGAACATGTTGTACGTATGCACACAGATACACACAAAGTAGTCGGTATCTGTCATGCAGTCTAACATAGGCACGTAGGATTCTTGTGCTACAATTTCAGCTCAGTTTGCAATTGAAGTAATCAGACCCAAAACTGCAGTATTAACACAAATTGGGGTTGCAATTTTTAAAAGTAACTTTTCCATTTCTGCCCCAAAAAGCATTTTGAACTGCATCAAAATTGCATGTGGAAAACACAAACACAAAAGGTGACCACAAATATATATGTCATGTATATGAATATAGTAATAATAAACTTTCAGCTCAGGTGTCAATGATATCCCAAATTTGGAGATTGCATAGCTTTCTAGAAATCACCGCTACAGGGCTAAAGATAACACATCATTCTTCCATCACATGTCCAGGTGTTTCTCTGTCTTGCTGCCAAAATCTCAGCTGGATTTCACATACTTGCCCCCTCCCCCTTATTCATCCCTTCTATTCACTAAAAAAAAATGTATTCCTTTCTTTGCCTTGGATTTCATTCCTTCTGCTTTTGAAACAAACACATCACCCAGCAAATTCAACACCTCACCATATCCATCGTCTCCTCAAGACATCTAAATAATTGACATTTAGCCATAACTAAATAAAATACCTTAAACCAAGCTGGTTTAAAAAACAACAACAAAAAATCAACCTTCCTTCATGCCTTCCAAGGGCAGGTTTAAACTATGAGTAATCCCCAAACAGCTATATAACTATGAGTCCCCCGCCCCCGATCCCC